TCCCTACAGCTCAAACTCTCCAATCCTGGCAACATCCTTGTAAATCTTTTCTGAACCCTTTCAAGTATCACAACATCCTATAGCAGGGAGATCAGAATTGCATGCAGCATTGCAAAAGTGGCCTAATCAATGTCCTGTACAGCTGCAATGTGACCTCCCAACTCCTATACTCAATGCACGAACCCACAAAGGCAAGCATACCAAACGCCTTCTTTACTATCCTATCTACCCTTGACTCCACTATAATCCTGCACTTCAAGGTCTCTTTGTTCAGCAACATTCCCCAGGACTTTAACATTAAGTGTCTAAGTCCTGCCCTTATTTGCCTTTCCAAGATGCAGCACCTGACATTTATCTAGATTAAATTGCATCTGCCACTCCTCAGCCCATTGGCCCATCTGATCAAGATCCCATTGTACTCTGAGGTAACCTTCTTCGCTGTCCACTACATCTCCAATCTGAAAATTTACCAACCATACCTCCTCTGTTCTCATCAAATCATCATTTTCTGCACAACATCATGGGCCGAAGGGCCCAATCCTGTTTTATACAGTTCTATGTTCAGACATGCATTTAGTCAATAATCTTTCTGCAATTGTTCAGTCTGCACTCTCAGTCATTAATGATCTAGGGCAGTCTGATATTATTGGCAAGGTATAAATGAGAATGTATGATACTGCGCTTAGGATGACAACACATACGTCATGTGTTTACAATGTTACAGAGTTGGGACGGAAGACCCCAAGGCCTTGTTCATTATACTGGTGTCTTCAACCAGGCAAACTTCAAAAATGTGCTACCAAAATACCATCAACATGTCTCCTGTCCCACCAGAAGTCTGAACATCCTTGGCCATTTGTATACAACCAAAGATACCTACTGCTCTAGCCGCCATCGACATTTTGGAAAATTAGATCACAATGCTGCGCTCCTCCTCCCCAGCTTACAAGCAGAAATTGAAGTGTGAGAACCCAGGTACAGAAAGTAGTGCAGTGTTGGTTTGAGGCAATGGAATGGCCTCGCTGGGACTGCTTAGAGTCACTGGGCTGGGCCATATTCAAGAACTCAGTGGCCAATCTAAACAAGTATTCCAGTACCACACAGACTTCATTAATGAGTGTGTAGGACACTGCATGCCGAAGAGGTTAATCTGAATGTTCCCAACCGGAAACCATAGATGAATTGGGAGATCCACTCCCTACTGAACTCCAGGTTTGAGGTGTACAAGTTGGGCAACTCTGATCTATACAGGAAATGACCTTCATAAAGCCATCAGAGATGCCAAGGGGCAATCCCAATCGAAAGACCCAGACCAACCAAATGGTCATCTGCTGTTTGTAGCAAGGCCTACACAATGGGCTGACAAAACGACGTCAAACAGAATCATGGGCAACAGTACATCCCACCCGATTCTACGTTTGCTTTGAACAGAAGGTCAATGCAATGGTGTCACCTGTTCCATCAGCCTCAGATACACCTGCACTCATGGTCACCACCACAGACGTTAGATTGGCCTTCTTGAGAGTGAACCTATGGAAAGTGACCTACCTGGATGGACCCCCCAGCTGTATACTCAGATCTGTGTGGCTCAGCTGGTGAGAGTATTCGCAGACATTTCCAACCTCTCCTTACTAATGATCTGAAGTCTCCACCTGCTTCAAGAAGACCACCATCATTCCGCTGCCAAAGTAAAATCATGTGGAATGTCTCAATGACTACCACCTGGTGACTCTGACCTCCATAATTATGAAGTGGTTCAAGAGGTTAGTCATGGCTCACATCAACTCCAGCCTACCAAACTGCCTTGAACCTTTGCAATTCACCTACCAGTGCAACTAGTCCACAGCAAATACCATCTCCCTGGCCCTACATTCATTCCTGGAATATCTGGATCACAGGGATGCCTATGTTAGGCTCCTATTATTGACTACAGTTCTGCCTTCAACACCATAATTCCAAACAAACTCATCTCTAAACTCCAAGACATAGGACTTGGATCCCCCCTCTGTAACTGAATCCTCAACTTCCTGACCCATAGACAACAATCAGTAAGAATAGGCAACAACACATCCTCCACCATAATCCTCAACACAGATGCCCCGCAAAGATGTGTACTCAGCCCCCTACTATACTCCTTAAACACTCATGATTGTGTGACCAAATTCTGCTCCAACTCCAAATAAAGTTTTCTGACGACACCACCATTATAGGGAAGATCTCAAACAATGATGAGACACAGTACCAGAAAGAGATAGTGTGCTTCATGGCATGGTGTAAAGACAACAATCTCTCCACCAACATCAGCAAAATGAAGGAGTTGGTCATTGACCTCAGGAAGCCAACTGGAGGACACACCCCTGTCTGAATCAATGGTGCTGTGGTGGAGACGGTCAGGAGCATCAAGTTCCTGAGAGTAATGATCACCAACAATCTGTTGTGGTCCATTCATGTTGACACAATGGTCAAGAAAGCACAGCAACGTCTCTAATTCCTCAGAAGGCTAAGGAAAATTGGCATGTCCGCAAGGACTCTTGCCAAATTTTTATAGATGTACAATGGAAAGCATTCTATCTGGATGCATCATGGTGTGGTTTGGCAATTGCTTTTCTCAAGATCGCAAAAAACTATAAAGAGCCATGAACATAGCCCAGTCAATCACACAAAGCAGCCTCCATTCATTGACTCCATCTACATTTCCTGCTGTCTCAGGAAAGCAACCAACATAATCAAAAAGACTCTTCCCACTCCAGTAATATTCTCTTCCACCGTCTTCAGTTGGGCAGAAGATATAAAGGTTTGTATACACATACGAGTAGATTCACAAACAGCTTCTTCATCGCTGTTATTAGACTTCTGATTGGACCTCTCAAATTTTAAATTTAATCTTGATCTTGCTCTCTGTGCACCTTCTCTGCAGCTGTAACATTGTATTCTTTGCTCCGTTTTGTTACCCAAACACATGGTATGGCATGATCTGCCTGTACTTGCATGCAAAACAAAATTTTTCACTGTACCTAGGCACATGGGACAATAATAAATCAAATCAAATCAAACATTTCATTTTCCCTCAGGTAGAAACAAATGTGTTATAAAAGGCAAGATGAGGCTAACTTAATGAAAACACAGGTTACAGTTTGGAGCAGGTTTTCAATTATTATACTATCTTGTGAGATTGGAAACAACATAGGCTGAAAATACAATATTGAATTGCATTACCAACGAACTTCTGCTGCATGATGCACCCAAGAGAAGCTGTAGATTAACAGTAAAACAAAAAAATGGTGGAAATTCACAGCAGGTCTCTGGAGTGAGAAATAGAGGGATCATTTCAGCTCATAATCATTATTAACAAGATGGGTTAGAAAAGCACGTGCTAGTACAATTGGGAAGCAATGTGACTAAAAAGGAAATGAATTTCATGATTTAAAAATGATGCAGTGAAGTTCATATCTGAACGAGTTATTCTTGTGAGTGTGGGAAATGATTTTGACAAGTTCAGAAGAATTTGATGTTCGCAGAAAAAAAATCAGTACAAGAACATGGAAGAAGTTGGCAAAATCCATTAATATTAAAATACCTTTAAATTTACTTTACCAAATGTTTAGCACTGTACTAAACCTACTGTCTAAATTAATTTTAGACCAATGTAATGAAGATTGAGTTTAGATAATGGGCTTCCGCAAAAATCAACAATTGAGCCAACACAGATAGAATGCTTCCTAGTGTTGATTAAATGTGTGCCTGGAAAAAAAAAAGGATATCAAATTATCGGGGTCAATTAAAACTTGGTAAGCAAATTTTAGGAATTCAGAGTTACATAATTGTTTCAGCATGGCCTATCATGTTCTGTGCCAATTTGCCAAGTGTCATTCCTCTGCCTTTTTCCTGTAACGTCTCTTCAAAAGAATGATCTAATTCCCTCTTGAATGCCTAAACTAAATCTGCCTCCACCACACTTCCGGGCAGTTCATTCCAGATTCTAACCATTTATTGCATACATTTTCATGTATTTTACATCTTCATGTTGCCTCATTGTTTCTTGCATCAATTATCTCAAATCTGTGCCCTCTTGTTCTCAATCCTTCTATTAATGGGAACAAATTTTTCAAATCTACTCTGCCCAGCTCCCAAAATCTTGAATATTTCAATCATATCTGTCAACCTTCTGTTCCCCAAGGAACCAGTTCTGTCTTCCTATGACCCATTCACATTAAGTGAAGTTCTTATCTCTGGGACCATTCTTGTGAATCTTTGCTGTACTCTATCCCTGCTCATCTTTCCTTTAATTTGTCACACACAACTAGAAATAATCCTCCCGCTGAGGTTGAACTAATATTTTCTACAGGTTTCAAACAACTTATTGGTTTCACATTCTGTATCCTCCGTGATAAACATAAGCTTTATCAACTGTAATCTTGAAGTGCCCTGCCATATTTTTGTATATAGAGTACACTGGGGTCCTTCCATGTCTGCAGCTCCTTTTGAATGGTGCCCTTTACATTGTCCTGGTGTTCTTCTGACCAAAAGGAACCACTTCACAGTTTCACTTGCAACTTGACTGCCCATTTTACCACCTAATCTGTATTCTTTTGAAGTTCGACTCTTCCCTCCTTGCTGTTTATGTTTCCAAATTTCATACATCTGCAACTTTTAAAATTATGTCTTTACACATAGCATAAGTTATTCATACATAACAGGAAGATCAAGGGTCCGAACACTGACCAGTGGAAACTTCCATCACAAACCCTTCATGAGCCTGAAAAGCATATTAACTGCTCCTCTCTGTTTCTTGTCACCCCCCGACAATAACAAATGACTGAAAGGTAACAGTTCATTAAGACATTTGGAAATTAATGCTCTTATAGTGAGCTTTAGAGAAAATTTAGTCATTTTAGAACAGGGTGAGAGTCCACGAACAAATTTCTCAGTGAGCAAAGTAATTAACAAACTAATATTAGAAATTATAATGCTTTCAACACAAAATTGCGCCAAAAATAATGCAATGTATCAAATATGGTGTCTTTATTATGTACAATAAGCAAAATATTCAAAAATGAAGCAAGGAAGACAAAAAAAAAGACACTTTTGTTGAGAAACATCTTTGTGACATCAAGTCATTTCTCTCCCATTGAGAACTATACAAAAACATGCCCTTGATATAATCAGCTACCTGTACAGCACTGGCCAGCCATTGCCTTTCTTCTCCCTAACAATAAGTTTGTTCACAACTGCATCAATTAACTCAGACATTTTTACATAAGGCAGCCAAACATAATACAAAGTGCTGTCAGGAATGAACTCAGCAAACAATTAGAAAGTAAACATCAGCAAGTGTATAATATCATAGCCAAAATCAGGCTTCTGGAAAATGCTGCACTTTTCTTCAATAAGAAAATAACTAAATGCTTAAAATAAAAGCACCTTTTAAAATGGATACGATGTATGAGTGAAATATTGAGCTGACAAGGACCACATGTCAATAGGTTATCAAAATTGCAGACTCAATTTAATGGTTACCCTGTGCACCAGCCAGAATGCCAGCAGGAACCCTGTCCTAATCATTTCCATAAGTTCCATATAATTACATTCCACGTTAGATAATTAATTTTGTCAAGCAGTGATGTTTTCCAAAAATGTCTGATCAGGAACTTGCCCGCCCACCCTAGCTTGCAATGAGGCCACCAACTTTTGCTGAACAGTGTCATCACATTACATACTTGCCTCTCTGCATTTGGTAGAACAATAGTTGAGGCAAGGAGGATGTCATTAAATTCGTTTCTAGTTGACCTGGTTGAGGACCTAACCTGCCCTTGATTGAACTGGAAGTTGTCATTGACTATAATAGGCACTCTATCCCTACCCTCCTGATTCAATTGGTAAAATTTCTAACCATTTTAGGACCATATAGCTTGGAGTTTCCTACTGATTCACCCAGTTTACAAATACAAAGTGTCTCTTTAGCCATCAGTAAATAGAAGCAAGTCACACTGAACAAATTTGATTTGCTTTACCTTTATCAACAGACGCAGATGGAAGGATGCGGACAGCAAATAGGTTAAGACCTAATCAGCAAAACTGGAAACTGTAATTTTACCAAATCTCCACCTGGTTGCATGATACATAATGTTAAAATTCCCGTGGAAGGGGATATAATTTGAGTATGTGGGCAATTCATATAAACACTATTTTGGGGGTTGAGATGTCTTCTAGTGTGCACCACCATTCCTACTTGTTCAGCATTGCTAAATGCTAGTAGACAATAGCACTTTATTAAAATGGTGCACATTGTCTTACTTAACCAATTATATTTTGCTAGCTCTTATGATTTTGAAGTCCACAAGTTAATTAGTAGATTTTTAGTTTTGCCATGACTGGTACCTTTGATTTCCTTTTTAATAATTGTCTATTACCATGTAGCATCCCTTTCCCTAAACTCCACAACCCTCCAGCTTTCCTAAATGCTGCTGAGATGACAGTGATTATTCACAGTGGCAAAATTGCTGGTGATGTCACTGATGGTGACAGGTCAAGCCACAGGAAGTGACCACACATGCTCTAATGGTGTCACTGCCTTCCACATGTCACCATCAGAGGATGTGTTGAGGTAGGGGCTGGGGGCCCAATGGAATCAAGGGCAAGCACAGAAGCAGGAGGAGGCTTACACCAGGAGCATGATCCAACCTCCATTTGGCTGTGCTCTTTTTTTTATTTTCTTAAATAAATGTAAAATACTGATGAACATTTCTAAACACAGACTTCCTGCAACACCATCTTTGAGACTGGCTGATAGTTTTCATTGCTCATTAATGTTGTGAGCCTTTTCTCTGTGCATGCACAATCTTTGTGCCACCTACAGGTAGTGTAATGTAAATCATAATCCTGATAAAATTCCTTTCCTAATTTTCAACACTACCAAAAATTCAACTTAATTGTTATCACCAGTTTAAATTTAATTTACATATGAATTTCCACTTCTAACATCAGTATACTCCAAGCACATATTTAAATCTCATCTAAGGGTTTATATTAGAAATATGAGTGCAAATAATATGTTTTGATTTGTGGAAACAGAAAACATGTTTCTGACCAGTCAGGTGTAAACTTTCAGAAATGGTAGCTGTATTGTCTGATCTCACAAGCAATGTCTAAATGTACTAACAACAATGGATTTGGCATACACTGAAGGAACCATTAAATAATTCCGTTTTAAATAACTAAATAAAAAAGAAAATGTAATCCGAAAAGCAATCCAATCAAATATTGTAAATATACTGGACGGCCATGACCTTTTTCAGTTAAAGAAGAACTAGATTAATAAAATTTTTGTGGTTTGCGCATCATAAATGTTGTTCCCGTCCCCATTGTACATACCATAATCAGATGTAACATTTCCTCTGCTCTGCTCTTAAAGCAGCGTTTAGAACTAACCTCAAAGTGCATTCTGTTGTAACCCTGGACCAGGCTTTTATCTTTGAAATGGGTTGCTTGATTTTGAGGCAAATATCTCCCAACTGGTGTAGTTTTCATTTTGAAGAGTGTATGTGGGATGGAGTCAGGCCTGCATGGACATAGTTTGGAAGCTACCAAGTACCAAAGTTGAATAAAAACAAAAAGTGCTGGAGAAACCTAGCAGGTCCAATATATTTTTTCAATCAGAATCAAAACAATAAATGTTTCTCTCTCCTCAGGTACTGCCAGACCCACTGAATTTCTCCCAAACCTTGCTTTTATTTCAGATTATGCGCATCTGCAGCATTTTGCTTTTATTTAAGTGTTAAAGCAAGCTGGTTAAAAGACCCACCTTAGTTTATTGGCACTTGGTCCTGGTTACTTTCTTAACTAATATTCCCCCTATCCCTCACACTCATGATCCGCCCATGTCCCATCCATGCCAACACTTAGCATTTTCATGCTCATTCAACCAGTGCAAATGCTAAAGAACCAATAAACTCTAGATTAATAATGGCATGTGTAGAAAAGCTTAAAAAAAGTCACTCAACTTTCTTCACTACAACCCTATAAAAATGTCAATCGACCAGACCTTAAAAAAGTACTCTTTATCTTGTATAAGTAAGCATTGACAAAACAGATACCAGCAATAAAAAAAAGCTTGAGCTGTCAATCAAGCAATGATTTTTTTTGTTTCGACAAACTGATAGAAGTCAGAGCTCTTAATCAATATATTGATGCTCTGGACTAAAATGCAAATCTGCACGTTTAGAAATAATGACATTAGCCATGAAATTTACTGGAGAATTAGTTCTATAACAACTTTTTTTTCTGCAAACTAAGGAATTGTTTAATCTTTTGGGGTCTACATTTTGAAATTCCACTACTTTTTAAATAGATGCAATTAGACCAGGCCACATAACTTGTTTTCAGCCTACTTTTGGCTCAGTTGGATAAGGAATAGCATCAATTAGTGTGGCAAAGCGGGCAGCTTTTCACCAGATGGGTGGTCAACATGCTCAATATAAACACAGATTTGGGATATTCATTTTAACATTCTGCACAGATCATAAGAATAGAAAATTACAAACTGATGCAATTTGACCTAGAGAATATCTAGCTATACTCTGTAAATTGCCATATGGTCTGTTATGTACTGTAGTTCTGAATTTTAACAGAAACTCCGCTTCTTATATTTTTCAGGTTGAAACATATTTCACTGCAGACAGCTGGTTCAATTTGGCCCCAAGTTTACTATAAATGTAAGTATCAATTTTTATGCCAAACATGAGTTATGGTGCCCTGGGAAAATGTAATTATTACTTTAACTGTCATTACAATCACTTTAACTGCTCGATAGTATGTACAGAAAACAATCCTGATATTTACGGTTTGTCAGTAAGTATTTAGATTCACCATTGTCTAAAGCAATCCAGTATTTGTACAAATAATATTTTACTTAACCAGAATTAGTGAGATTGACCATTCATTATATCACAGAATAAATGCTGTTGTAATCTGAGAACCTGTAGTGGTTATCAGTCATATAGTGATGTGCAATGCCAATGACTCATTTTTATGAGGAGCTTGTGCCCTGGCTTCAATTTCTGTTACTCTATATTTTTTTTTCTACTTTTGTTTTAGTTGTGCACATATTATGTGTTAGAAAGATTGCCTATAGATATATGAGGTTAAAGTATTTCCAAATGGTCTGCTTTTAAAATGAAATATTGTCCATCACTGCAGTAGTGACCTTTCCTCAAATGATGTTTATATACTGAATTTAGAGTTCATAGAAAGCAGGACTCAACCTTTTGTGAAATGCTTCTAGAATTATACCAGCAAAATTCTAAAGTAGACAAATAGCAGATAAACACTATGCATTAGTGGCAGGATATTATTTATTCATCTGCCTGTTTATATTCCAATTGAATATTGAAAAGCAATAAAGATGCTACTTTATACTGTGTACTGTGTACACGTGGGCATTGTTTTCAGCAGAAGTGCCAAAGAGCCAAAAGAATACTGAACCGCTTCTATATGAATTGAAAATAATGCACAGATATATCAATATGAGTCAGAGTATTGAAAATACTCTGCTCTTAGCTTGTATCTTTTAAGCTTACAGGCCCATCAAATGCATTCCAAACAAAACACCCACCATATTCTGCCACTCTCATCCACTCATCTTCCTCTTTACATTCCCAACTTATTTGTATCATGTTCCATTTTGCATATATCTAGATACAAAATCCTTCTTGTAATTTCTACTTCCAAACAGTTTCTGCCTTATTTAAAAAGAAGTCCTCAACTTCTGAAGATCCATACACTTGATTCTCCAGCTTTTAGTGCAAGTTTTGATCATTTATGGACTGTACAGCCGCAACTTCCCGTTGTTAAATGAGGATTTCCACTACATCATCAAAGTCAGGTTTGTGGAAGGAATAGCTGCCTCTTCCTTTGCTGTCGTGTGATTTGATATGAATGATGGAAGAATCTCCTAAAGAGGTGAAAATACATTAGAATGAATCTGTTCTTTAAATTTTGGACCGTCCTGTTGATCATCTTAAAGGGCTGCTGCCTTCATGCAAAAATGTTTTGAAAACTTTTATTCCTTATTATGAACATGTACAATTCACGTAACTGCATCAAATTGTCTGTCATTGCTGTTTGAAAATTCTCAGAAGTCTTCCGCATTTCTAAATAAGAAAGGATTCCTAAAATACTTTAAGTTTTAATCCAGTATATAAATCCACAAAAGGCCCATTTCCAGTATAATGTACGATTATAACTGCAATTATTTGTAATTAATTATAAATGAAATTCTTTTGTTACTCTAATTTCCTTTTGTTTTCTCATCCTTTCCTAAAATGATTAACAGTAATATGGGGTCTAACAGCACAGGTGATATTTGTTCTGAGACCTTAGCTACATGGATAATGGACACATGACTATGTTGACAATGAGTGTAAACAGTTATTCAAGTTGAGACGAACATGATTTTTAAGCTAAATTCAGATAGGCACATTTCTAACAGGGATCACTGAAGCTCAAACTAATTTTCTCTTCCCTAATTCTTTTTACTATGTCTAGACCTACCATTCTGACCACAGGTCCAGCAATGATCGAATACCTCAACAGACAGCATACATGAGAAAAATCACTTTCCACATGCTTTGTATGACTGTTGCATTTAAAAACAGTTGCACTTGTGCAACATCCTTGTTTACTCACGTACAAATACACTTATTTCACATATACACAAGGCCTCCTTTAAAATTGCTGTCCACCATAAGCCCCTATGGGCTTTGCACTAAGCAAAAGATCGTACTCCATTTTCAACAAATTTACTTTCTGATAAGTACCCTTGAAAAAAAAACGGTTTACCAAGTTAAATTACATTGCTTCAACAACTACCCAAAACCCACCAGTTCTGCAAATACTGAGGACCACATTTGCAATTTGTCTGGTCTGTGTCTTTGCATGTTGTAGCTAACTTCAAAATCTTTGCAGGTAGTTCATAATGCTATTTAAGAAGAGAATATTAAATCAGGGTTATTGGAGTTGTTGTAGATGAGGTGCTCCATGATTCTGGGTGCAAATAACAAAGCAACCCACAGTAACGAATTTAAGTTCATCCTGGACTTTCTTCCAAGACGGCAGCAGAGTAGCAGCGCTGCGTCCGAGCTCCTGGCCTGGGCCTCGTCCATTTTCATCTGCTTTTTTTGGGGTTTTTTTGTTTCTTTTACTTCAGCTTTTTAATTTTGTTCTTTTATTTTGCTCTCTTCCTTTCTTCTTCTTCTTGAACAGTCTTTTTAGCATCTTTGGCACAGCGACAGCAGGCCCAGAGTCCCGAGCATGTACGGCAGCGGTGGCAAGACATGGCTCCTCAATGAGAGGCAACACAATATGGAGCTGGAGGAACATAGTAGGCCAGGACAGGATCAGAGGAGCAGGAAAGTTGACGTTTCAGGTCGGGACCCTTCTTCAGAAATGGGGCAGGCAGAGTTGTGAAATAAATAGAGAGGAGGGGTGTGACTGGGGGAGTGCAGGTAGGGAGTAGTGGGGGTTGGTCAGTGGGATGGGAGGGGCGGATAGGTGGGAGATAGGATGGACAGGTTGTGTCAGGTCAAGGAGGCGGGGATGAGACGGAGGCTTGGACATGAGTTGAGGCTGGCAGTGGGGAGATTTTAAGACTGGCAAATTCCATGTTTAGGCCATTGGGCTGTAGGCTCCCGAGGCAGAATATGTAGTGTTGCTCCTCCAGTTTGAGGGTGGTGTCATTGTGACACTTGAGGAGGCCCAGGATGGACATGTCACCCAGGGAGTGGGAGGGGGAGTTGAAATGGTTGGCGACTTGAGTGCCCCGGCCAATCCATTGTCTCTGCCTGCTCCTGCTCCACTGAACTCATCTCCGCTTACCTTGACTCTGTTTCTCCCTCCTGGTCCAGGAACTCCCCACCTACATCCGGGACACCACCCACACCTTCCATCTCCTCCAAAACTTCCAATTCCCTTGCCCCCAACACCTCAACTTCACTATGGACATCCAATTCCTGTACACTTGTATCCCCCACGTAAAGGCCCTAAAAGCCCTCCGCTTCTTCCTCTCCCGCCGGCCTAATCAGTCCCCCTCCACCGACACCCTCAACTGCCTAACAGAACTCGTCCTTACCCTTAACAACTTCTTCTTTAATTCTTCCCACTTCCTACAGACTAAGGGAGTGGCCATGTGCACCAGCATGGGCCCAAGCTATGCCTGCCTCTTCATAAGATACGTGGAACAGTCGCTTTTCTGCTGTTACACTGGCACTATCCCCAACCCCTTCATCCGCTACATTGATGACTGTATTGACACTGCCTTGTGCTCTCACAAGGAGCTTGAACAGTTCATCACCTTTACCAACACCTTTTACCCCAGCCTTAAATTCACCTGGACCATATCCGATACCTTCCTCTCCTTCCTGGACCTCTCCGTTTCCATCTCTAGTGACTGCCTCGAAACTGACATTTATTTCAAGCTCACCAACTCTCACAGCTACCTGGGCTACACCTCCGCTCACCCACCCTCCTTCAAGAATGCGATTCCCTATTCCCAACTCCTCCACCTCTGCCATGTCTACTCCCAAGATGAGGCGATCCACTCCTGCACATCCCAGATGTCCTCCTATTTCAAGGACTGCAACATCCCCCCTCTGGCGATCAAAAATACCCTCAATCGCATCTCTTGCATTTCCTGCACATGTGCCCACACATTGCCATCCCCCAACAAAAATAAAGACAGAATCCCCCTTGTCCTTACGTACACATACAATGTAGCATTCTCCGCCACTTCCGTCACCTACAATCCGACCCCACAACCAAAGAGATATTTCCCTCCCTACCCCTATCTGCCTTTCGTGGGACTACTCTCTCCATGACTCCCTCGTCCGCTCCACACTCCCAACTAACCTCACCAACCCCGGCACCTTTCCCTGCAACCGCAGGAAGTGCTATACCTGCCCCTTTATCTCCCCCCTCACCTCCATTCAAGGCACGAAACAAACCTTCCATATCAGAAAGGGATTCACTTGCACATATGTCAACTTAGTCTACTGTATCTGTTGCTCCTGATGTGGACTCCTCTACATCAGTGAGACCAAGCGTAGACTCAGAGGCTCGGAGACCGTTTTGTAGAGCATCTGCGCTCTGTACGTGACAAACAACACTTTCCAGTTGCCAACTATTTTTACTCCCTCTCCCACTCCCTGGTGACATGTCCATCCAGGGCTTCCTCCAGTGTCACAATAACACAACCAGCCAATTGGATGAGCAACACCTCATATTCCGCTTCGGAAGCCTACAGCCCGATGGCCTAAACATGGAATTCACCAGTTTTAAAATCTCCCCACCCATCCCATAACCAATCCTCCCCTTTTTGACCTGACATAACCTGTCCATCTTCTCTCCCACTTATCTGCCCCTCCCATCCCACTGACCAATCCCTACCACTCCCGACCTGCACTTACCTATCAGTATCCTACCTACCTTCCCCAGCCCCACCCCTCCTCTCTATTTATTTCACAGCTCCCTTTTCCTGTCCCATTTCTGAAGAAGGGTCCTGACATGAAATGTCAACTTTCCTGCTTGGTTCCTCCAGCTCCACACAGTGTTGTCTCTGACTCCAGCATCTGCAATTCTTGCATCTCCTCAACGAGAATGAGCCTAGTGCAGGGGACATTGAACCCTTAGTGAGCTTGTGATGGCAGCAAGTGTGGGTCCAGCAGTGAGAGATGGTGCCAGACTGTAGTAACTTTGTTGGTGGGCCCACCAATGGAGGACTGAAGATGGTGGCAGTGGCACCAGCTTTCAAGATGATGGTGACTGCAGGGCAGCCTCTGCAGTCAGTGGAGAGAGAGGCACCTGTAGGTGGTGTTGGAATCAGGATGCTAGGCTTCAGCTGCCATGATGAGGTATACCCAAATTGGTACTCCTGGCAGATTGATGGGAGCAGTGGTTGCATTGGCGATGGTGTGGTACTCCTGGAATGCAATAGTGGTGATAGTGGCCTTGGAGTGGGACTCCTGGAATAGACTGTGATGTGGGAGTATTAGTGGGCCTGGAGCCCATTTGGAGAGGGGAAGGTCTCTGCATGTCGAGCAGAGCACGAGAAGGGAGGAAAGCTCTGTTTTTAGTTATATTCTAGTATATCTTAATATCTTTTGTTACTCAAATGGCACTGGAGCATGGTGGCATATTACACTTTTCATTGTATTCATTTATTAAATACAAGTTACAATAAATAACTCATTCATTAAGTCTAATAGATCAGCCTTAAGATGGTCTTCCAGTACACCAAATCCTATGATATTCACCTGTTTGAGCAATAGGACTGTTTACAAATCAGGAGTATTAGACAAAACACTTTATTCTCTATTTTGACAGAATCTCATATCATGTTAATTAAAAACCAACATTGCAATAAGCAGTCCAATTTACCTAATTTTTCTGCGTTGCTTCGTGCTGATTTCGGTCTCACACTGGGGCTGCTGATGGGGGTTGTGCTGAGCCTTCTCCTTCCGTGGATTGGGGCACTACTTGGACGGACCAGTTCAGGACTTTTATCTGTCTGAGTACTGCTATCCTTACTGCCAGTTTTAATATGTGTGGAAACCACTGGGAGTGAAGTTGCAGTCATTTGAAGTGAGGTGTGCAAAGAATTTTCCGGATTGTCTTTAATTTGAAGCAAGCCTGTCAAATGCAACAAGATTAACAGCTGTGTTTATAAGTTTTATTGGTTCACAAGTTTAAATCTGGCATTGGGTAAATGCAGAAAACTTGGCTGTGCAACAGATGCCAATCTCTCAGATGCATTCCAGCAGGTAAAATTTCCAATGGTGAAATTCAAACATGAACACTCAAAAGTATAGTACAATGTTAAATTGCTTGCTATATAACTCCTAACATGATTTAAAACATTTGTTACTAGCCTCAACAACTGTGGCCAATAGTAAAACAAGTTCTGAATATTTTTTAGTAAGTGCAAATCTTTAATGTGTATAGTACGCTAGTGAGTACTGCTTCACTTTATAATTTCAATCACTGCTCTCTCAATGTGACCATAGAGTAGCCAACAATGAAGAACAGTGCTTTGTGGATTTATTATTTTTAAGTTTATGCAACAATCAAGATGTGGGGGTGTTGGTGTTGGACTGGGGTGGAATAAGTCAGAAGTCACACAACACCAGGTTATAGTCAACAGGTTTATTTCAAATCACAAGCTTTCATTGCATAGCTCCTTCTGACAGAAAATCAAAGCCACAAGAAAGGTGAAATAAAGCTTCCTCTTACCTGTAGCAAAATTGTAAATACATCCCTATGACTCCATGAATTATTAAAGGACACCAAAACAATTTTATCACCTTTATTAGCGGAGTATTCACTTTGCTTAGTAAAAGCAGAGAGGCACAAAAAGGTAGGTGTTAAGAAATATTTTTAGAGAAAAGTGCAACAGAAATGTCCTCCAAGGGTAGTGTAATGTAATGTAACATGACACTGTAATGTGGACCACTGATACTGCCCACCATATCCCTACCACAGTCCTCTCAATTGTATCATGGAAGGTTGAAACATTAGATATAACACAGTGTGGAGCTGGAGGAACATAGCAGGCCAGGCAGCATCAGAGGAGCAGGAAAGCTAATGTTTCAGGTCAAGACCCTTCTTCAGCATCGGCAGTTCTTACTATCTCAGGTTGAAACATTAGACCGGATTTTATAGCCTGAATCAGTTGTATTTTTTTTTGTTAGGGGCAGGGAGGTCATACAAATTATTCTACATTATTTGAGAGTCTATCCCTGATGTGGTGCCCATAATATATGGTGGGGTAACGTGCCTAACAGCCTGCATACAACTTAGGCTGACTGCGGCCCTTTAGTGGCCAATTATTGCCATTTCCATTGTAATGATACATTTCCTTGTGGAAGGTGAACAAAAGTGGGAGATCTAATTTTAAACAGTTTTATTTGTGAGAATCATTCAAAGGGTGCCCTTTGTACATGAGTATTCTACTATGCTGAGATTTTTGCCCTCCTTTTGTGCCTCCCCATTTACAGCAATAAAAATTTGTCCGACAACCCATGTCTAAACTCCTCAATTCCTCGTAGTCAAAAACCCCACACCTTCCTCTCTCTGGTTGCCATGTCCTCATCATCCAGTGGCCCTCTTGCAGTCCCAGAAATACCCACTACTGACCTCTCATGATGCTGAGGCTGCTACGGGAGAAATGTAAGGTTTCAAATGCTTTTGTGCTGGTGATTTTGATTTTGTAATGGCATTTTCCTTTCTCAGACACTGAGCCAACCGTATAATTAGTTTGATGCTTACCTACACCTCCCTTCCTGCTCTTATCCTCCTTTGCTTCATTACTCAGGGATGCCCAGTGAGAATGCAGTACAGTGTTTCCATTTATAGATGAGATTGATTTTCCCGGCCTCAGGGATCCAGGCTCCAATTTTCCTGGCTCCTTTCGAGAACGTTGCTGGAGTACTTTTATCATGGCATCCTTCTCTATAAGCTGTGCGTGAAGGTTTTTTATTCTGTTAGAAATGCAGTTGAAGCCTCCTACCCTGTTGGAAATAAAATTGTTCTGTTTATCCAGACATTATTATTTGAAAATTTCCACTTTGCACACATTACCTTCCACAATCATTTATGAAGCTTATTGTGCCTTACTCCTTTCTCACCTGAAGCTCTCTTGTGCTGACCAATTCAATATTTTACGAGAAACTCACCATTTTTTATATGTGGCATCAAAAGTGCATGTAACTATTTAACCATTTGGTGCATGACAACATTCAATCTAAACCCTTTAGAATCAAAACAAAAGAATTTCATATATACCTCTTTCATATAACACATGCTATTCTGTTGCATATTCTTTTGTCCTTTATACATCACTGCATCTTCTCACTGATGTTCTTTTATAAACTGTGATTCTTATGGTTGCCGTTTTTCTCAATTTTTTAAACATCTCTTTAAATTCCATGTACAAAACTGCAACTGGATGATAATTTGCAAAACTGGATTTTCTTAAACCCATTTAAAGTACTCTGTGGACTGCCTAGGCTTTGGGTTCTCACATTGCAGTGTATGTGGTCAAAGATATTATATGTACATAAACCTTTTGTTGCCACAGTGTCACCTAATTCCCCATGTACTGTGTGTCTCTCATCAGGGCAAAAAAGAAGTCATCAGTAAACACTGATTCAGAACATAATACTGAGTCATTTAAAATTTTATTCATCCACATCCTACATTTTATTGATCAAATAAATGAAAAATAGGTAATTCCACCCAGCTTATCTCATCTATTCAGATAACCTTACAGCTCCTCCATCACAACATCCAACTGTCCTTTAAATAACTCAAGGTTTTGTTCCCATAACTGTACCTGTAAATTAATTTTACTGATCCCTAATTTCAAAGACCAACTTACATTTGGATTCTACTAAATTAAACCTGTCTCCTGGTTTTACTTTAGTGTTTAATACCTTCACTATCTAAATTATGTTACTGGCAAAATTATTTCATAATGATTATTATATCTCAAGAAAGGATTGGCCACATGGGTCTTTTTGTGCAAAAAGAGGGTCAAGAGTTGATCTAACTTTTAAAATTCTGAAATATTTTGAGTGGATATAGAGAGAATATTTTGACTTGTGTCGATGGCTTCTAGATAAGCTCTTCCTCACAAGAAAGCCGCCAAGAAATCCAAAGAGTGGTAAGAATATGGAACTCATTTCCATAGTGGTACAGATGTGTTGAACAGGAAGTTATACAAGCATTTGAGAGGGAAAGGAGTACCTGGTCATGAAGGCAGATTTGGATAAAGAACGCTGGGTGGGGGCATGAGTGCAGCATAAATACAGGTTGGATCTAAAGGCCTGCTTCTATAGCATATACCCTTTATAAGTTATCAGTGTTGCTTGAATATTCTGAGTTAATGGAAATTATTGGGATCACAGCAGTTTCATTATACTATGTTCAGTTAGTACATTTAATGCACTAAATTTACTCCATCCAAAAAAATGTCCAATGATAGTTTTGTACAAGTTCCAACAGACATAACTTATCATGCATTAGCAAGAATGACATGAACATGTACCCATGCTCTGTGTCTTGGTATCTTTGATTTGACTGCACATTCTCCTCTTCCTCATTCCAATTTCGTACTTCCAGTGGACTATCATTGTAGCTGCTATTTGGAGAGTGATTTATTATATTGGTGTCCCTGGTAACAGAAAAACAAAAAAAAATTCCCTTTAGATTTTTTTTTCTAGTTGTTCAATTATCCTTTTGTACATGTCAATGGTCAGGAGTATTTCTAGATACAACAAAGAAACTATTCTAAAATGAAGATAACACTGACATTACAAATGTAATAGAAAATAGGGACTTAATTAAATGCCTACCTTAACTAAAATGGAAAGCTGCCGACATCATAATGTTAAAAATGACATATTAACACACACATTATATATGTAATTGCTGTTTCAATACAGCAATCAGTTAATTTACTACTCCCATTTTGCTTCTCCACCAAAGATGAAGTTCAGCCCTGGAAAAGAATAGCTGTGAATGAGACTTGCAGGATCTCTACCTGGCATGTATTTTCCTTCTCAAAGTCTTTGTCAATCACAATACAAAACAATTTGTTCTTTTTTTCATTCTAAAAATAATCTCTACCTAAAGCATTAATCTGTCAGTTCTCTTTTCAAATGGGGAAGGATTTTCTGTATAGCTAACCGTTTGTTTTATTTCAGGGTTTCAACTCAGACATGTTTTACCCCCTTGTAACGTGTCATTAGTGAGATACCAAGTGTAAAACGTATAATAATTCAGATCTGACTAACGTTCTAAATTCAAGTCTCTCTATATACTTTAATAAAATTGATTTTGAAATGTTTTACATTTGATTCCACACATTTCACATTTGGTGAGCATGCTGCAGTAATGCACTCCAACATCTTCTCTACATATCCACTGGGACATTTCAACAGTTTGTATCACATGGCAAGATACTGGAGAAAATTTTATAACATGCTGATTTCTGTCACCGAACAGGAACTTGATATCCACTCCACTTGTGTTATTTCACTCACCTCCGATATCACTGTTACATGTTTGCAACTGCTGTGTGCAAGGTATGTGGCTTCTGTAATTATCAGCAAAAGCAGTCAATGAACAAATACCATTCTTCATATGCAAACTTCTAGATGAGACTCCTATGGGAGTTGAGAGCTACTGGGAAGGTGAGTGCACTCAAACAACCAAGACCCATTGACACTCTACCAGCAACTGCTCACCTGAAATGGGGTCTAGATGCCCACAGGATCAGGCAACTCTGAAGTTGCATTGCATCAAAATCAGAGAGGGTTTTATGGTAAGAAGGATAACCTGTCTGGAAGTGTGCCAGCCTTTCCACTCTGCTTTGTTGAAAGAAAGTGTAAGCATTTGACTCTGCTTTGTACCTGCCAGGTAATATTAAATGACACAATTTTCTTGAATCTCAATTAAGCAGGCCATTCAACAACTTAAAAAGTGGCATTTCAAAGTAGGAATTAACTGGCAACTGTCCACTGTAAGTCCTTATCGATCCACTTAAAGTCTTTTTTTGTAGTTTTATTTTCCTTCTTGCTGCAGTTTTCTCTTCATTTATGTTTCTCTCCTGAAGGAACTGACTCCAGCTCCTGTCTATTTATCTTTCGATCTCTACAAAAACAAGCTTGCTATATGAGGAACACTCTGCAATGTCAACAGCAAGTGACTATCCCAAAATATTCTTCATGATCAATTCCCAATTTCAGTCATACTGTCAATGAAGGTGCTAAGTGGGGTTTAGAAACTTGTAGAAATGAAAGGAAGAAAAATCAGTGAGTAAACAAAAAAAATCAATTAAACTGAGGGAAGCTATCAAATATGTTACCAAATAAGAGACAGTGGCATAATGGTAATGTCACTGAAATAGTAAGCCAGCGGTTAAGGAAATGCATTGGATACATGGGTTCAGATCTTCCATGGCAGCTGGTGGAGTCTGAAATCCATTAATAAATCTCACATGAAAGCTGATCTCAGTAGTGGTGACTATGAAACTATAATTATAGTAAAATCTATTTGGTATACTAACCTGCTAACTATTTCTTAGTTTGGGATACATGAGACTCAAGACCCACAATAATGTGGTTGAGTCTTAACTGCCCTCTGAAATGGGATAGCAAGACACTCTGTTCAAAGGCAATAAGAAATGGGCAATATTTTCTGGAGCCTTTCCAGTGATGTCTAGATTTCATGAAAGAATAAACAAAGAAAGGATACTGAGTCCTTGTATCAAGCAAAGTATATTTTGCACTATAAACCTATGTAGCATTAATGAAAAATAACTTGTGTTTGAGGGTTTGGAAAACCAGTGCCAGGGTAGCAAGAGCAACTGACCAGTATTACTGATTTACTGAAAGTGATTCATTTACTAGCTTTTTCTTGTTCGTTGTTCCCAAAAGATGGTTCTACTCTAAGACCTCCCTCAACCTGCTTGATCATCACCTCTGAGCAGCAGCTGTAGCAGCAGCATCCATAGCAAAATGACGCATTGCCCTTTCTTCCAAATACTTCTGCTCCCACTTGGTCATGTCAGCCTCCAGGACCAGGATTCGTTCTTCCTTTACCCTTAATAACTCCATCAATGCTGGAGTATTATGTTGTGGAACGTTAGCCAAAACAGGGCCTCCATGTCGCTGGAAGTGAAACAATAAAACAAAAATCTGATTGTATCTGAAACTAATCAATGGAAAAGTTTCCTGAAGTTTTTTTTAAACCATCTAGTATCAGATAAATTTTAACCTGCAGCCAGTGTCATAACTATATAAAACTATGCAAGCAGAGATGTTGGCCAGTGCCAATTAATTAATTTTAATTCATGCAAATTGCAGGACATTTATTTTTCCTTTACAAGTTATGGTTTTCCTTTATAACTTAATCATTGCTGCATCTGGGTATTAACTTTTTTGTGGTACAAGTTTAAAGGCACCTAGATCTTACTGTACCATGGCATTCTGTAATCTGTTCCGATATAAAGTTTTGCTGCTATTTATTCAATCTTGACAAATTGGATATGTTCAAATTTGTGCACATTAGACTCCATCTGCCAGGTTTCTGGCCCTCAGTTAAGGAACTTGCAAAGGGATATATGGATAGGTTATGTCCTCTTCATAACTTGCTCTCCTTATGTATCTTTGTCATCAGCAGGCATAACAATGATTTGAATAAATGTTTGGTTGTTACAGATGATTGAGGCTCCAGTGCTGATCCCTGTAACACTTCACTGATTACATCTTGTCAACCTGCAAATGACCCACTTATCCCTACCTGTTAGCTAACCAGTCCTCCATCCATGATATTATGTTTACCTTTACAAAATGGATTCTAGTTTTGCGTAGTGACCAGCAGAAATCATGTTTTGACTAAAATATTAGAATCCATTAAGCAACAATCAACACAGCTGAAGGGAACCAGTGGATTTGGATAATGCATTTGGATTTTCAGATGCCATTTGATAAGGTGTCACATCCAAAGGTCGAGGGTTGACAAGATGTAATCAATGACGAGCTACAGGGATCAGCACTAGCGCTTCAAACATTTATCATGTGTAACAATGATGTGGATAAATGCTTGGTTGTTATTTTTGTCATCAGCAAACTGCACAGGAGAGCAAGTTATGAAGAGGACATAACCTATTCATATATCCCTTTGCAAACTCCTCGAGAGGGGCAGAAATTTTGGCAAATGAAGTCTAATGTGCTAAAATTTGAACATATCCAATTTGTCAAGAAAGAATAGAATAGCAGCAAAACTTTAAATGGAAAAAGATTGCAGAATGCCATGGTACAGAAAGATCTGGGTGCCTTTGTATTTATATTACAAAAAATTAATACCCCAATGCAGTAATGATGAGGAAGACAAATGAAATGTTGTAATTTATTACAAAGGGAATGGAATATAAAAGTTTTGCTACATACACTCTGGGTGGGACCATGTCTGGCGTGCAAATGAGTAATGTGGCGTATGAATTACAGTGCCAGAATAACATATATCCTTTGGGACATATGACCGACATACAAAGGCTGGCAAATCGTATCAAACAGCATATTACTTTGGATGTTTACAACAAGCAGGTACTGACAACCAAGTTGGTCCACATTTTCAAAGCTCACAACATAGTGGTCCATTTTGGATGCATTTCCATATAATGCAAAGGTTAGAATGAACAGCGTTCCCCACTATAGGGCCAACCTCTGGGTCCGCCATGTAGATATCACCTTCGTGATTATCAAATGCACAAGACTAGAAGAAACTCGCCAACATATAAACAACATCCTCACCGGAATAAAATTCACAAAAGAAGAAGAAGAGAAAATAACCAACTACCCTTTCTAGACATAATGGTAGACCATAAGGACAATGGGGAACTCCAGACTAGCGTATACAGAAAGACCAGATACTGAATTACTCCAGCAACCACCCCAACACCCGTAAATGGAACTGCATCAGGACATTATTCAAATGGGCCACAACAAGCTGCAGAAAGCCAGAATTGCGCAAAGCAGAACAGGAGCACTTATATGGAGTTTTTAAAAGGAATGGATACCCAAAAAGCACAATCCGTCACTACCTCCGTGACAGACCACAACAAGCAGACACAACATGGCCAGACACATTAGGCACTCTACCTCATCAGAGACATATCTGAGATGACCACAAGACTACTCAGACCCGTGGGTATCAGGGTAGCCCACAAACCAACAATCACCCTGTGACAGCAACTGACAAATGTAAAGGATCCCATATCCACAACCAATAAAACTAACGTAATATACAAAATATCATGCAAGGATTGTGAGAAACATTACATAGGCCAAACTAGAAGAAAACTGACAATAAGGATATACGAACACCAACTAGCCACTAAGACAGACGACCAATTCTCATTGGTCTCAATACACACAGACAAAGAAGGACACGAATTCGACTGGGACAACACATCCATAATAGCACAAGTCAAACAGAGACATGCCAGGCATTCCAACCAGAACTCCATCAACAAGCACATTGAACGGGACCCACTATACAAACCACTGAAAACAGAACTGGAAGTGATGCCAACCACCCCAGTAAACAGAGGCATATAAATAACAAGCGGGACAGAACACCAATACTTCACCGGAGGCAGGGTGACGAAACGTCTGCAATCAAACACACCGGCTCGGTGAGCAGGTCTACAACCTCATCCATAAACCAAGCTACAAATCTGCTCAAAAACTTTTGTATCGGAGACTACATATGATTAGTTCTCTAAGTGTTAATCTTTGTGAATGGAAAGAACATATACATGTACAGAGATAGTAGGAATGTACAGCACTTGTTTCAACTGAAGGAAATTGGCAACAGTCATTCTCTGATTGGTTTTGCAGAACAATGCAATGACAAGAGCCAGAGTCAATCTGCCTGGATTAAACAAAGTTTGGCAGTTAACTGTTAGTCATCATTAAGTGGTACACTCCCTGGCAATGCCGCTACTAATTTGAGTCCAACTGCCAATCAATCAGCACACTGTCTCATAGTAAATGTTTACTTCCCCTTGGTATTTCTTGTGAATTGTTCTGAAGAACACAAGACCAAAAGGCTTCAAAAAATGTGTCTTTTATCAGCAACTCTCAAGTTCTGTATTAACAGATGGTTATTAACAAAGAAAAGAAAATAACTGCATTAGAAATAGTTCAGCCAAGATTGACTCCATGGATTCCTTTGATTGGAGGTATTGTTATATGAGAGAATAGTTGGAGTTAAAAGAATACGAGGTAATTTTATAGAAACATTTAAGATTCTGAGTGGACTTGACAGGGTGAATGCTGAGAGGATGTACCGCCTTATTAGAGAGACTAGAATCTGGAGACAAAATTTAAGAATAAAAGATGTTAGAGATGATGAAAAATATTTTCTTGGAAGGTTATTTTTCTGTGGAATTCATTTCACCAGAGACAACACATAATGTGGGGTCATTGAATCACAGAACAGAATAGAATCCCTACTGTGCAGAAAGATGTCATTTGGCTCATCGAGTTGGCACTGACCCTCCAGAGAGCAATCCATCCAGGCCCACTCCTCCACCTTATCCCGGTAACACCATATTTATCATGGTTAATTCACCTAGCTTGCATATCCCTAGACACTACAGGGAAATTTAGTATGGCCAATCCACCTAACCTACAAATATTTGGACTGTGGGAGGAAACAGGAGAACCGGCAGAAACCCATGCAGACACAGAGGTACAGGAAAGTGGGAGCTGAAGCTGCATTCAGATCAGCTATAAACTTTCCAAATGGCAGAGCAAGTTCGATAGGCCAAATGGTCAACCTTTTCTTAAAAATCGTATCTTCATTGGCTACGAAGAAGCTGCTAAGTAAGAATGGTAACAAAAACAAGCCAGGGAACTATAGGACAGTGACCCCAACATTGGTGGTAGACAAGTTATTGGAAAGGATACTGAGGGACAGGATAAACCAACATTTGGATAGTCAAGGTCTGATTAGGGACAGCCAGTATAGATCTGTGCATGGGAAGTCATGTCATGCAAATCTTTTGTAGTTTTTTGAAGAGGTAACCAAGAAGATAGATGTGGGTTGGGCAGTGGATGTTGTCAATATGGACTTTAGTAAAGCCTTTGATTATGTCCCGCATGGTAGATTAGTCATGAAGATTAGGTTGCATGGGTTCCAGGGACAGCTAACTAATTGGATTCAAAATTGGCACGATGGTCGGAAGGAGAGGGTGATGGTTGCAGGTTGTTTCTCGGACTGGAGGCCTGTGACTAGTGGTGTGCCACAGGGGTCAGTGCTGGGACATTTGTTATTTACATAAATGATCTGGATGTGAATGTACAAGTATGATCAGTAAGTTTGCAGATGATACAAAATTAGGAGTTTTTGTTGATTAGGAAGATTATCAAAAATTACAGAGGGATCTTGATCAGATAGGGAAGTGGGCTGAAGATTGGAAAATACAATTCAATACAGATAAGTGTGAGGTTTTTCACTTTGGAAAGTCAAACCAAGGGAGGACTTATACAGTAAATGGTAAAGTCCCGAGGAGTGTTGTGGATCAGAGGAATCTAGGAGTTCAAGTACGTAGTTCGTTGAAAGCAGTGTCACAGGTGGACAGGGTAGTGAAGAAGGCATTTAGCATGCTGGCCTTCATCGGTCAAGGCATTAGGATAGGAGTTGGGACATCATGTTACAGTTGTATAAGTCATTGGTGAGGCTGCACTTGGAGTATTGTGTACAGTTTTGGTCACCCTCTTACAGGAAAGACATAGTTGGCCAGGTCAGCACTTTATTCCTTGGAACGTAGGAGAATGAGGGGTGACCTTATTGAGGTGCATAAAATCACGAGGGGCATAGATAGGATGAATGCATATACCTTTTTTTGCCTCAGGGAAGGGGAAATGAAAAATAAAGGGCATAGGTTTAAGGTGAGAGGGGAAAGATTTAAGAAGGACCTGAGGGGTTACTTACTCATGTAGAGAGTGGTGTCTATATGGAATGGACCGCCAGAGAAAGTGGTTGAGGAGCAGGTATAATAGCAATGGGGTGGCACGGTGGCTCAGTGGTTAGCACTGCTGCCTCACAGCGCCAGGGACCCAGGTTCAATTCCACCGGGTGACTGTCTGTGTGGAGTTTGCACATTCTCCCCGTGTCTGCATGGGTTTCCTCTGGGTGTTCCGGTTTCCTCCCACAGTCCAAAGATGTGCAGGCTAGGTGGACTGGCTGTGCTAAATTGCCCATAGTGTTCAGGGATGTGTAGATTAGGTGGGTTACAGGTCTGAGTAGGTTGCTCTGAGGTTTGGTGTGGACTTGTTGGGCCAAAGGGCCTGTTTCCATACTGTAGGGATTCTATGATTCTATGAACATTTAAACTACATTTGGATAGGTACATGGATGGGAAGGGTTTAAAGGCACATGGACCAACTGCAGGCAATTGGAACTAGCTGAGTGGGCCCCACGGTCAGCATGGACCAGTTTGGGCCAAAGGGCCTGTCTCAATACTGTATTACTCTATAATGGCAGAATTTGTTTGATTGTGGTAGATTTGAGTTCGATAGAGGTCTGTTTTCAGTGGTTTGTTTAAATAATTTATTTTTGTTTGCCGCTCAGTTATGTCAAGATTAACTATTGTTTCTGCTTCAGTGTTCCTATGATATCTGGAAATAAAGCGGTGGTCAGAGTGCACTTGAGTGAATGCAGGTTCAACTCTGTAAGGTTTCCTGATACATGTGAACCTCAGTCCTCCCGATCTCTAATTTCCTCCATCCCTTTAAGATCAGGTCTCTCCTCCAATTCTTCATTCTTGCACATCTCTAGACTTGCTTACGATGCCTTGGCCGCAACCTCTAAATTCCCTCCCTAAACCTCACTAGCAGTTTGCTTCACTCTTCTTTTGCAAGATGTTGTGGAGATGTGTTAAATCTACTTGTGGCTAATCATTTATCGTAATAACTCCTCTATGCTGGGATATTTGCTATATTAACTGCACTTAATAAAGACACTGAAATGGTTTTATGTGATCCAGTTGCGCTAAAAAGCTTACAGATTAATTATTAGCATTGAATAGAATATCCTTGTAATAAACTAAGAGAAAACAGACAGTGTAAAAGTTCCCTAAATTCTAATTTTGTCAATCTTTGCATCTCCTACAATTGAAATTGCCCTTAAAGCTCTGCACTCTTCAAAATTATTAATACTGCAAAAATGCAATGATGCATTGAAATTCCTGACACAAAAATGATGTCTGAAAGCAGGTGATACCTGTTGTGCTCGAAGAGATTCTAGCTCTCGTTCCAGCCGAGTACGTAGCCTCCGTTCCATCTGTTCCCGCTTTTCACAGGCTGCTTGCAGCTGTGTCAAGGCCTGTTGCAGCCGTTCTACCCTTTCCACATACACTTGTTTCTTCCTCAACTGTCAACAGAAAATAAACATCAACATCATGGTGATGCTCGAAACAAACTTGCTTTTCAGGCCCAGAACATGTTGAAACTCTGGAAAAGTATACCATATATAACACACAACCTGATTTTGTTTCCTTCATATTCAAGCTATGGCACTTGCTGTTAGGGTGTTCTGATATCAAGCTAAGAGCACAAATGCTAAATACTGGATGCAGAATCCTGTGGAAACAATGGACATTTTAGCCTCTAACTGGAGAATTAGCTAAAAACCCCTGGTTGCCTTCTCTGTTGGCAGGGGAGATTCCTTGATCAAGTTGTAAGTCATCAGAGCTACTGACATCATTACTGGTTGGAGATAGAGATCGTGATTGGATGTTGGAGGGCTGTTGGTTAAGTTGACCTGCTATTGGTGGATCTTTATGCTGGCTTCAGCCTAATGCCAATTCAGGGAAAAGGCAACCTAGAGCTATGACCTCAGCAACCACACACACCCAGGTCAGGGAGTTTGGAATACAGTCAGGGTGACTGTGAAGAAGGTGGAGGAAGGATTGCCAGTTGAGCAGGCATTCTTCATGAAGACAGTCCTCTTGGATTGTTGTGGGTTCCAAGCAGCAGATATTTTCTGGCTGCAGAATTTTCCCAGTGGTCACATCCTTTGATATGACCTTCAGGAGTGTGAAGCAATGTGAATGTCTCCTGAACATTTTCAAGGAGAAAAGGGGTAAGAATCCCTTCTCTGTGTTGTCTGCGGCACCATTGTTCCTTCTCCCTGCACAAAGGAGCCAGGTTATGACAATCCATTGTACAACACCCACGTCCTGGTAGCAGATGTCCTGACCTTCCCAAGAAGGTACATGCAGCTAGAAGGAGGCAGCGCTGATGTAGAGACCCCCTTCGGCATCTGGACCAGCTAGCAGTAGATCAAAGTGACCCTGAAGGTGGATGCCAGTGGGAACATCCCCCAGCTTTGCAATTGGAGGGAGCCAAGGTTACATGATGTACACGGGGCAGCTTAGAGTGTGCTGAACCTACAGGAGGGCAGGGCACAAGGCAGCGGACTGCAAAGGTGACCCTCTGCATGAACTGCAAACAGGAACGACACCAAACTATGGACTGCAAGGAGTCCAAGAGCTGCAATCTGTGTGGGGAAGCAAGCCACCTATACAAGGTCTATCCAAAACAGTGGGGGTGGGGGAGAGTGGTGCCACTTCCGCTCAGATGGCCGGAAGTAGCAATGTGAGCCATGGACCCCCAAAGATCAGTAAGGTGCCACCTCCCAGTAAGAAAACTGATACAATGGGCACTCAGAAAGAAGAACAGCTGGAGTGAAACAAAAGGTAGCCAGCGTGGAGGCATAGCAACTAACCCAACATCTACCTGAATAGATAGAGTCAATGGAGAAGAAGGAAACCAATGACACAGGGGAATGGATAATGGTGAGAAACAACCAGTAAAGAAAATCAAGTCAGGTCCCCAAAGCCCCGCAGCAAAATGGAAAGAGGCAGCTGCATAATGGCTACAACAATAGCTCCTCTAATTACGACGATGTGCAGAGGGATGGACATCAACAAAATAAAGAGACAGAGCTCCACTGGGGAAAAGGAGAGGAGTACCCCCCAACCCAGAAATGCCAGACTCCCCGAGAGGCCAGATGAAATCTAAATTCCAGCTGATGAGAACCAGGGGACACTCATCACAACACAGCTTCAGGCAACTGGGAGCTGTGTCACTCTGACAGTCACTCTATCAGACTCGAAACTGGACCCTGCTGGCTTTGCTCTCATCCCGACGACACCAGAGATGGGCAATTCTTCCAGGGATGAACATGACAGCTAGCTCAGTGCAGAGACTGTCCAACAGTTTGTCCACACCACAGGGATGCAGGGAGACCCCAATGACAAGACCGTGAGTGAAGGGACATTGGGTGATTCTATAAACTTTTAAAATTGGGTATTAAATCGCAAGAATTAATGTGCTCAGTGTTAATTCTACCACATGATGTGTTTCCACATTAGCTTACCTGGTCAATGTCAAAGCAGACCCCCTGTTTCTGCCAGAGCATAGGATACCACATCTCAGCAGCTACAGGAGATGATCAAGCTTATGGGCCCATGGGCCTTCGATTTGCTCAGGGAGAAACAATAGCCGTTCCTCCAGCCTGCGTTCTGCTGTGAGGAGGCAACTTCACCATCATCGACGTTAAGGAGGTGGTGGGCCTGTGCCTCTTCATGGCAGATGTTACACACAGAAATGCTCCCCTGAGACTAAATCATGTGTATGGCCCAGTGGTACAGAGTGAGCCATTGGCGACGTCAGGCTGATCATTCTGGCTGGTGACTTCAACTGCACCATTGTTATAGATGGACAATTCAGAGGGGCTGACAGCGAACTGGACTCTATGTCCAGATTCCTGATGGAAATAGTTAAAGTCGCCAAGCTGCACATCTTCAGCACCCCTGCAGATGAAGCACAGCACAGATACACTTGGTCTCAGCCAGACAGGTCTATCCGCTCAAGGTTTGATTTCTTCTTTGCATCCCGCACTTTTTTGGTCAGATCCACTGATGCAAGCCAGTGTTCTTCTCTGACCACTCCCTCCTGCTGGCCGACTGTCACATAGAAGATGACCGACAGGCTGACAAGGGAACGTGGAAGCTGACCGTTAAATTGTTGACCTCAGAAAACATTGAAGAGCTCAAAAGGGATTACACAGATTGGAGAACTGTGAAGCTCCTCTTCTAATCTCCATCAGACTGGTGGGAAACAGTCAAGGGGAACATCAAGAGGTTCTTTATCCTCAAAGGTGTTCAGATTATGAGAAAGAGGCTGGGAAAACTGTCCAAATTCCAGGAAACCATGCAGAACCTACTCCAGCTGCAAATGATGGGGGTCGATGTCATGCAGGAGGTGACGAGCCAGCAAGGCTTGCTCTTTGCCTTAGAGGCCTCCAAGATAATCTTCTGGTCCAGGGTCCTAACTGTGCATCAGCATGAGACGTGCTGGAATTCCTTCTTCCAGAGGTGCACAAGGAGAGCTCTGCGCTCTGCAGCCTGAAGGAAGAAGATGGCTCGGTAACGTCATCTCAGTCTGACATCCTGCGGATCAGCAAATCCTTTTATGCCATACTGTATGACACAAAGCCTACAGACACCGTGGCCTCCCAGTCATTCCTGTCCTCTAACACAGAAGTCTTAGACGACAGCACGTGGAAGGGACTAGACCAGTCATTATCTTTGGATGAGCTGACCAAGACCCTCAAGTCCTCAGAAAAGAATAAAACTCCTGGAAGAGACGGCTTACCAGCCGAATTCTATTCAGCTCTGTGGGACTTGATTGGCCAGGATTTGCTGGAGGTGTACCACAGTGTGCTCTGGCAGGTACCATGACTGAATCCAAGTGGAAAGGTATCATCACACTCATCTACAAGCAGAAGGGGGACAGGAGGGAAATTAGAAATTGGTGGCCAATATCATTGCTGAATGCAGACTATAAAATCCTCTCTAAGGTCATTGTCAACTGAGTTATGTCTGCTCTGTGATCAGAGATTCACCCTGACCAAACCTGTGCTGTACCGGGTAGGATGATCTCTTGAGAGCCTTGCACTCCTTAGGGATACGATTGTCTACGTGCTGGACAGGGCGGTGGACACCTGCCTCATCAGCATGGACCAGGAGAAGGCCTTCGACAGGATATTGCACATGCAAATGCTGTCCAAAATGGGCTTTGGGGAGGGAGTCTGCAATTGGATCTGACTGCTGTACACCAACATTGTTAGCACAGTCTCAATCAATGAGTGGGAATTAGAAAGCTTCCCGATCAGATTTGGAGTCAGGTAGGGCTGTGCACTCTCTCCTGCCTTGTTTATGTGTTGTATAGAGCCCTTTGCTGATTCCATCAGGAAGGATGCAAGCCTGAGAGGAGTGACTATTCCAGGCAGCAGAGGCCAGCAGGTTAAAGCCTCCCTGTACATGGATGACGTCGTTGTTTTCTGCTCAGATCCGCTATCAATGCACAGACTCATGAGCATTTGCGACCAGTTCAAACTGGCCTCCGGAGCTAAGGTAAATCGATGCAAGAGCTTGGCCATGTTCTTTGGGAACTGGGCCGACCGATCCTTCATTCCCTTGCACAAAATCTTGGGAGGAGTACATCACCAAAGTGAGGCAGAAGCTGGTCCTTTGGGAGCACTGCTCCCTCTCCATTGCAGGTAAAAATCTGGTCATCCAGTGTGAGGCACTCTCTCTGTTGTTGTACATAGCACAAGTCTAGCCCGTCCTGCAAAACTGTGTTGTTTCAATCACCCAAGCCATCTTCTATTTCATCTAGAAGCCTAAGATAGATCGGGTCTACAAGGACTCCATATACAAAATTCTGGATAAAGGGGGGAGAATGTACCTAGTGTTGCCCTCATCCTGATGGCCACCTTTGTGTGCAGCTGCATCAAGCTCTGTGTCGACCCTCCGTACGTAAACACCAAGTCTCACTACGTACTGAAGTTCTACCTGTCCCCGGTGTTGCGAAGGATCGGACTGGCCTCGCTGTTGCGGAACGCTCCAAGTAGCTGAACCATTCCGTATCACTTGTCCTTCATAGAAAACTTGCAAAGAAAAACACCTTTGACCACAAGTCCAACAGAATTGGTCAGCACATAGCGTCCTTGAGACCCTGAGGGAAAAGGAGAGGGTGAATCCTGTTGCATGATTCCCTGAGCAAACTGTCAAAGTCATTTGGCAGAATGCCTAATTACCAGAACTTTCAAACAAGAACCAAGACATCGCTTGGCTGGTGGTGAGAAGGGCACTACCTGTGAGATCCATTATGTACGCCTGATCAGCCTGTGCTCTCACGCTGCCCTCGAAGTGGTTGCGGTGGGGTTTAGACTGTCACACACCTCCTTCTGGAATGTGCCTTTAAAAAGGTAGTCTGGAGGAAGATGAAATGGTTTGTCAAGATTCATCCCGAGCAGCTCCGTGACATGGTCTGTTCCCCAGGATGCACACTGAGACAAGC